GGGACTAAAAAGATAACCACAAAGAGCACAGTAAAATTTTAGTACAGAGTTTGTATTCCCTCCGTTTATTTCTGTAAGGCCTATTAGTTTCAATCTTGTTGCCAATTTTGAGGCCTACATGCTCAAAGTAATCTCTTTTCACATTTCCTTCCCTAATTATTCATGGTTGTTAACCACAAAAACTGATCTCTCACACTCCCAAAGAGCTTAAAGGAAGGTCAAGCATTATGTTAGATGATTTCCGAGGTCTTAGTCACATATCCAGTAACATGAGTAATAACTAATTTGTTCAGATATTGTACAGAAAAGGAAGACTTGAAGGTTCTGGTTGTGGGCTTGTGGCTAGCAACTACAGGCCAAGGCATGGCGTGCTAGGCCCCCATTTTTGAAACACTGGAGCATGATTTCTTGTGCTATCACTTCAGTGGATGGCAATGTAAACCTAGTGCATGGCCCACAGGTTATACATGAATGTTTCGAAAGAGATAGTGCAAGTTTGAACCTTAATCAATGGCCAAATGAGATAGATGCTGCAACTCTCATTTTCTTGTACTACACATTTATCGTACCTGATCGTACATTCCTGACAAGAGATCACTTGAGTTCTAAAATAATAGCAAACATATATTTTAAAAATGAGTGCTTCTTCCTCACATCTGAAACACAAGAATTACAGCAAGTAGCCATGCATTTTTAGAAAAGTATAGAAGTATATTGTAGAAGAAAAGTTAATCAAACAGTTGCAGGAAGCACACATTTTAATGTATCAGTTTATAAATATTGGGCTAGTAAAAAGAGCATCTAGGTAAAATAAACTACAATAGAATATCCCCAGGTTGCAAGAAACCAATAAAACAACTTGAGTAAATAAAATGTTATCTCATTGGATTAGTTAGCATGGTCCATGTGTAATCAAGCTGAAGCACACTGCTATGAATCTTGCTCAGTGAATTAACAACAATACCGATGTCCAGCTCCAGCCTTATCGTGCCAAGACTATTTATTTATTTCACAGTATTGACCACTTCCTTTTTTTTAACGCAAACGACCACTAAAACTTAATTGGGTGCAAGTGATTTTACAAAATGTTGGCTCTTGATGGCCAGTTTGCTTACAGTAGGCAGTGCCCCTCATCCTTGACAATAGAGCAAGTAACTTGTAATTCATCAGCTGGGAACTTTATAGCGCCTTTGGCAAGGATGTCAGCTATTTTGTTTTCCTCTCTTGATAAGTTTTAAATTTTAACTAAAATTAAAATATTACGGATGTATCAACCAACTTTTGCTTTGTGCCCCATTGGTTTCTCAAACAGCTTGGTATTGTTTTATTACTCAGTTGGTAATGAAATCTACACTTCAAGCATTGCCTGAAGATTGGCTTCCAAAACAGAGTACTGACTGGATTTGACCATCTTCCTTACAAACTGGCAACTTAACTACTACACTTCACCTTTTAACCATATCAACAGTGGAAGTTCAGAATGAAGCATATACATTATATTACCTTCATACAAAATATAACATTTTATTGCATCGTCAAACTTCCTTAATTTTGATTTTTGATTGCTAAAACACACTCCCTACTTTTTTTTTGTTTAACACATAGTCCATGCCGTCAAACTAGTTTAACCACTAGTGTCTCTCAAACTATCAATTTCAGCTATACGAAAATTATATTTACTGATTTTTTTTCTTTCAAAATGCTTTCCTAAAATTAATTTTTTTTCACATATACTTATATGAAGTTACAAAAAGGAGAGGTCAAAGTTGTATATCGTAGACTGCAAAGAAGTAAAAATCATCGCACTTAAAAAGAACGAAGAGAGTACAAAATTACTTATACTGTTCGTGTGAATATAGTATATTATATTATTATACAATATACATACAAAATAAAATATTTTGTACTTTACTCCCTCCATTTCAAATTATTGTTCACTTTAGTTTTGCCCTCAGTCAAACCTCACTAACTTTGATGAAGTTTATTAAAAAAAATTACATCAACACTTATAATATTATTAATATAAATTAGTTTCGTGAAAATCACCATAAATATGTCTTAATAGTGCATTTATTTGATCTTATTAATATTTTTTCTAAAAACTTGGTCAAAATTAGAGAGCTTTGAGTTAGGACAAAGCCAAAGTGAATTACAGGTTGGAATGGAGGGAATACCATACTAGTATATTAGTACATGAATTACAGGTTGGAATGGAGGGAATACCATACTAGTATATTAGTACATGAACTAATTAACTATCAAACTTTATTCATTCGCGATCGCATCCTGTACAATGGTTTATACACTTTTTTTGCAGAGGGGGTCAGCAACCAAGGTCCTTCCAGCTTTCTATGTTAACTGTGAGATCTTAGCACAGTGCCTGACTAAGATATGCACCAGCAGTTCTTGCTTTCTCCTCAATCGGTGGGTGTTGTAACTGCCGATATTGTCAGATTTTTATTGCCACCGCTGAAGCTGTCTGGCTACATTCTCTCCCTTATTTAGCATTATCTGATTATGAAATAGCCTATAATATTTGCAGCACTTAACACAAGCTCGATAGAACTTGTCTTGTATTATTTTCCATATAACCTATTTGAATACATATCTTTTGCTGTTAAATGAACATATGGTTGCAAAGCTAAGGCTCAGTAATCACTACAAGTTCCAGATGTAATTTTATTTTTGAAAGACTCCAGATGGAACTTAAGATAAGCTGAATTCATATGCATATTTGTTTCCAAACAGAAGCACGGCTCCTGCAGCCTGTTCGCTTGCTTGCATACGATCGTAGATTATAAGCTGGAACAGTACTTTTCTCTCACACCAAACTAGCCAGCAGTAAATAATCCACGATGGTTTACGACGAAACAAACAGGCTGCTGGTAGCGTTCTGTTGACCAAAACACGGAAATCCACCTACCTTCGGAAGATTTACTTGCATTAATATGGAACTTCTAAAAGTGCCATCACTGCCCCCTCATTGTAGACTCATAATGACCCTGTTCGCTGATTGGTTTCTGGGTTGATAAACCCGGCTGGTGCTGGTTTATTATGAGAGAAAAACACTGTTGGCTGACTGATAAGCACAGGCTCGAACGAACAAGCTAAATATTAACACAGAGGAATACTATGCACATTTCAGGAGCACAACGGCAGCCTGGTAAACTGAGTCCGAACAATGAAGCATGTAAAAACACTTCAAAACTCACCTAGCTTGCTCGCTGGCCGCTACTACACGGAAACTCCACACCCGGGACGCAAACCGGACCTCGCCTTTCTCCTCCATCTGGGCAACCTGCGTCGCCAACGCAGGTGAGCCGCCAACTCTGCCCAATGGGGCGGATCGGAGTCTTCCTTGTCCTTTTGTCCCGGCCGCAACTCCAGAAGGTTACTGCGACCGTTGACGCCCCGACGATGGCTTTGTCAGACTGGGAGTAGCCCCGCGGACGGGACTTTGCCGGCGGCGGGGATGGACGGAGCCGCGACTCCGGTAGTACGGGGACTACGGGAAGGTCCTGAGAGGAAAAAAATCAGCTCCAAGTCTTGGGCCATAAAAGCCAAGAAGTTGGGCCTGGGCTGTGCGATCCGGCCTCTCTTTTTTAGATGGGCCTCCCATGTTACTAGTAGTTGACTGGATGACATGGTTCCTTTGTGTGGCGGCTGTGCTCCAGCTCCAAGTCTTTCCGGCGAGGGGAGGGTTTTCTCGAAGCGCGGACAGAGATGGCGGCGGCGACGGCAGGGTCGACACCGGCGAAGGAGGTGGTGAAGAAGAAGGTGGAGCTCATGAAGGAGGTATTCTCGACCTCCCCATACTTTCACACCTCTATCGGTGTTTCGTATAGTTCTCTTCGCGAGGTTCCTGTTATTGTTCTCCGAATTCGGCTGGTGACAGCAGAAATAACATAATCTGATTTGGTTTGGTGTTCCGCAGATACGGGCGCACGAGGTGGCGATCGCGGAGCTAGGCAACCTGAATCCCTCCCGGGTCAGCCTCTTCCCCTGTGTCTCCCTCCCTTGCTTGCGATTTCTGTCATGGTACCAAATTACCAATAGCACTCTTTCAAAAAGTCTAAATTACCAATGGCAACCACTAGGGTTGTTGTCCAGTGATAAACTGATGCTACACTTTTACATAACCTTACATTGGTAATCAGATGACAATTGCAAAGCACTTGCAGAAGCTTTGATTATCCGGTTTGAGAGCAAGAGCATGGATATGCTTACTGGATCAAACTTTCAGTAGCTTGCTTTGTCACCAACTCACAACTTGTCCATCTTACTCACAGAGTCATAGTTTATTGGTTTGCAACAGGCGGTGTACCAGAAAGCTGGCAACATCTTCTTTCGCAAGAGCGTCCAATCAGTGGTCACAACGGAGCAGAGTATGCTGAACTGCTCAGCACCGCTATTGCGTTGCATCTTTCTCCAGTAACTTTCCCTCCTTAGCCTGCCTTGTCTAACATTACTCTGGTTTTACGATTTGCTATGGGTTACAGAGCAACTTGACCAAGCCAAGGCTCGGCTGAGCAAGCTGAACCAAGCCTGATGGGGGCAGCGACTCTGCAAATGTTGGCCCTCAACACAATCGAGCATGCAGATTCCAATGGGAACGCTTCATCGTTGCCTCGTTGCTCATTAGTTCTGCAATTGGGCGTTGTGGACCTAATCCATGTATAATGCTACGTTTTCTTCTTCTTGAGATGCAGTGCTGGTGTGCTCGTGAAACTAATTAGAGGCTAGATTTTACTTCCACAGTTCCACTAGCTTTGTATTGTCTGTGAGGCATTACAAGTTTGGTTCCTGAAATAGTGACAGGAAACAAATCCTGATTCGTACATCAATACATGATAGTTCGTTCGCAGGGTTTTAGCCCGCTTCAACACGAAGCTTTCTTCGTGTCTAGGGTCTACTAAAATTCTAGCGTCACTGGTTTTTATCTTACTATTTTGGTTCGTTGCTTGCTACTGCTGCAGATGTAACCGGAAAACATGTCTGATTCAGATTCTATTTAAGTCAGCTTCAGCTATTTCAAGTGCATGCTCAGCTTCTTCTGGATCAATGTCACAGTTTGTATATGTCAATACTGAAACCACAAAAAAAAGGGGGGTAAGGAGCATCGGCAGCATGCAAAATGAACCGAAGTGAAATGTGGTCTGAGTTTTGGACGATCATAGAAAAGTTCATCTTCAATCTTTAGGGAAAATAACTCTAGAGTAATAGGTAGCATATTACATTACGCTGGTGTGACTGTCAGATTAAGATCTCTCAGACGGAACAACAGTTTAGCATCCGATGGCCTGCTTTGCTACTGACTGAAGTCATGAAAAAAAAGGGTTACTGATACCGATAAACTCTCCTGATATTACATGCTTTCCTATGCTCATGAACTATCATTCGATGTTTCTATGTGTCTGTACTCTACTGATTATCTACGGATGTCGAAACAACGACCACACCATCACGACATGAGGATTCAACTGTCCGCTTGATGTGAAGAAGGCTATCTGCAAAGGAAAGGAAACACATCTTAGTATCAAAGGAACGTTGCCTTCACAGCCAAATGGAAAAGTGGCTATATCATACAGGGGGGGAAAATATCAATATGTTACACACAAGCTTTAACAAAGTCAATTAGGTAAATGTTGAACATAGGAAAATGGAATACTACATCAATATGCACCAGAGAGGTGAGAGCGAATTGCCTTAGTATAAATAAAGCTTTTCATTTCTTGTCCAATATAACTTTTATTGAACGCTGCGAGAAATAGACCATAAGTTTAACGGTGTTCACTGCACAGGCTAATTGAAAATATTTCACAGCCAACCAAGTTAAAGTTGCACTCTATTTTCCAACACTGCTTACAGCAACAGAAGTGAGTTCGAAAGTTTAACTACAAATGTGTAGTCATCAGAAGTTATTGCAAAGTTTTTGCATTCCTGACTTGCTTATTAAGCACATAGGAAATGATAACAAAGCATAAAAAGTTTACAAAAGGGAAGATACTAGACTAATTTAGCAAAAAGGTTACACTAAACTAGAGATAGGGATAAATCCATCATCAGTTCATCAAAGGATAAGTAGTGGTACTTACTCAAAAGTGTAGTGAACAGAACTTGTACTTGGTAACTAAACTGGCATTGAGATATTATAACGGGTACACAGACCATCAATAGCTTTCTCCACAGATTTTGTCATCACAGGGATAGTCACCTTGCACACTAATTGTTACAAATGAGAATGGAGAAGACCAACATAATGTAAGAGTTGAGATATGATAGTAACATGCAGAGATTAGTAACAGTTTATAAAAACCACATTTATGCAACAATTTAGGATCAACCGAATCATGAATGTTAAAACCAGAGGAACAGAACATGGCCATAGATATGTCCTGCTTTCCACCTATCTTGCTTCTAGAGTTGACTGATAGTGGTGTTAAGTCGAAGAGAGAGAACAGGAACTTGAAGTATAGTATGTCCGTAGTACCACGAGTTGTGGATGCCTCTGCCTCTGCGATGATCTGCTTGTACTTTGCCTGAAAATGACAAAGAAAAAATTAAAATAGAAAAAAAAAAGAATAGAAAATTTCCGGATGCTGACAGGCCTACAAATTTTGTACCCTGGCAATCTCAGAACTTTCTTTTATATCATCAGACATCTTCTTGTGCTCCTTGTCAACTTCATCTGCTAGTTGCTGACAGGCTTTGTTTTGGGTCTGAAAAGAGAATTAAGATCTTACATAAGTGTACGCTCGTGTATGTGAGCGTCTGCGTTTGTAACTGGGTCTCCCAAAAAAAAATGTTAGAGCATATAGAACACCAGAGGCAAATAAAATGCATTAGCTGTGGATTAACTAGATTGTGCACGCATCAGAGCGTGGGTTGACATTTTGGTGTGGAAAATGCACTGTTATACAAAATTTGCATGGAAAAGCTCACCATGCCATTTAAGCAAATTTTTACCTACATAAATGAACTACAAGCAAGGAGAGTGAATGAAATCTATTTGACCATGTTATTGCACCAATTGCAATTATAATTCCATAGATCTCCAAAGGCAGCATGGGTTAAATGCTCCAGGGAAACTAATCGCATTTTCTACTGATATCAAAATTTGTCCTCTGCAATGAATTAGCAAAACAAATAAGCGCCTCATTCAGTGCCGTTTCATGATACAACACTTAAAACATAAATTCTTGCCAACAAAACCCATGCATCACTATGTACACTAATGCCACAAGCCTCTAACGGGAGGGGATCCAGATACACTACTCATTTAATGGATTTATATCTTACCCACAAATGTTAACATCTATGATACAAAACATCTTATATATCAACTATCTCCACCAGCAGATTACGCTCATTGCGCATGTTTTAATTGTATAAACTCAGACATAGCAATCTCGTGTACCAATTTTTGAAACTCAGATATAGTGTCAATGGTAGAAATCGGATATAGTAACCTCATAGATCAGATGTTCAGCACAACTCAGAAAATTTCATATATGTTAACAAACAACGTCTTGCTTAATCTACAAATCGACAGAGACCATAACATCTGAAAATGACACGTAAGCCATTCATGCAACAATGGTTATCTCCAGTTCCTCACACGCTAGCACTCTACAACATCAACCAATATGGAGCACTTCGTGTTGGCAGGGCCCGGACAAGCAAACCACGAAGCTCGAAACCAAACCCCAATGCGACTGGGAGGGGAGCGGAGTGCGGGAGAGGCTCGCGGCGGGCTCACCTTGATTCGCTTGGAGACGGGGGAGAAGGACGCATCGAGGTCAGCGTGAGCGCGGGAATGGAGCGCGTCGAGTCGGCGCTTGAGGTTCTCCATCTGTGAGGCGACGGCAGTCCTGAGGTCTCCGACGCTGGATACCCCCGTCGCCGCCACCGACGCAGGCTGGGGAGACGCGGCGGGGGAAGGTGTGGCGGCGCCGGGGCTGGCGACGAGGGGCGCGCGCGCCGCGTGCTTGGCCCTGGCACTGGGCTTCGGCGGGGAGGCGGGGGAGCCCGGCGAGGAGAGGAAGCTGATGCTGAGGTCGGCGGGGGAGGACCCCGGCGACGACGACGCGGGTGAGGAGCCGACGCCGCGGACGGCGCGCTTGCGAGTACGCGGTGCGGGCGACGGCGATGGCGACGCGAGCGGGGAGAGGAAGGAGGGGTCCGGCTTGGACTTGGGCTTGGCCCTGGACCTTAGCTTCGGCTTGGGCTTCGGCGGGGAGGCGGAGCCCGGCGAGGAGAGGAAGCTGATGTTGAGGTCGGCGGGGGAAGAACCCGGCGACGACGACACGGGGGAGGGGCCGCCGCCGCGGATGGCGCCCTTGCGTGTGCGGGTGCGGGTGCGCGGTGTGGCAGACGGCGACGCGAGCGGGGAGAGGAAGGAGGAGTCCGGCTTTGGCTTGGGGTTGCGCCTGGGCCTGGAGGTGGCGGCGGCGGCGGTCGCTCGTGGTCTCCCCATGGCTCCGCTGCCGCCGGTGGGGGCTTGGCCTCTCCGCTTCGCTTCGGCTCTCGAGGTTTGAACTGGCGGGCAGCACGGAACGGGAAGCCGGGGCGGGCACGGGGTGGGGCCGTAGGGGTTCTGAAGCTGTGAGAACGGGGAGCCCGCACGCTTTTCTCAGGGGGGCACATGTCATCGATACAGGCTCCAAAGTATACATTTAAATGCTCTTAAATTAAATACAGATACAAAACAAATAACTCGGATTGGAATTTTTGATAGTTTTGAAACAACAATATCACTATCTAAGTTACTGAAGTGGATGAGGACACCTTTATCTTTTTTATTGATACTAAGATGTCAAATAATTTGGATTCAAAACATTTTATGGAGAGTTTTGAAAAACAATATACTATATAGCATGGGTAGATAAGACGAATTCTATATACATATACTCTCCCTCCGTCCATGAAAGAATGCAATTATGAGATCCGTGCCAGTCAAAGTAACTCAAGTTTGACCAAGTTTATAGTTAATAATATTAGCATTTATGTCTTCAAATGAAATTTATTATGAAAATATATTTTATAATTAATCTAGCGGTACTTATTTTATATCATGAACGATAATAGTTTTTTATATAAATTTAGTCAAAGTTCAAACCGTTTGACTTCTCAAAAAATGAGAATTACGTTCTTTCCTGGACAGAGGGAGTATCCATCTTCATCGATATTTCGGTGGAGTCATGATGTATACCATATTTGTATAAGTATATATCCTAATTAGTAATTTAGTAAACAAATGGTGTAAACGAAGATTGAGATGATTTACCTCTCACATCAAAAGAAACGTAAGAAGATTTTTGTTCCATAATCAAATGATCAACAAATTATTTTTTATTGACCTTTATTATATTGTGTCTTCGTAACCAATGAAACGTCATGTGTCAATGCTTGCCCGTGTCAGTGCCAAAGATGAGGTTGTCATGCGCTTCTATCCTACCCTCCCCTTCCCCTTCCCCTTCCCCTTCCCCTTCCCCTTCCATACTTGGCTCCTCAACACACCCACGCGTCCTACGATCGTCGCCACGGCCACACCCAGACCCAACGACGCCAACACCTCCCATCATGCCTCTCTGATGCCCTTTCTTTGCTCTCCCCAAGACTGCGACCTGAGCTCTGGCCAATGATCAAACTGATGAGGCAGCAACGACAAACAACGCTAAGAATTGTTTGTCTGCGCCCTGCCTTGCAGGGTGCAAAGAAGGGGATGCGGATGCCAGATTGTGGCCTTTCAACTGTTTACTCTGTTCTTCGCTTGTCGAACAGTGTTTTTGTCTCACAACAAATCAGCGAACAGTACTTTCAGTCATGGCTTTTCAGCGAAATGAACATGGCCATATCCACCTCCGACCATATCTTACTTCGTCTTGGGTGAGGGTTGTCGATGAAGTTCTTGCTCTCGATGAATTGGATTTGCGGGTGGTTGATCTCTCAAGGGCGGTTAAGGTTCCTACATTCAGAGCTTAAGCATAGACCCAAAAAGATTGGGTATAAACACTAGTGTACCTGTTTTGGGACATGGGATGGGTAAATAAAAAGGTTTCTAGAGATCAACTAGGGAGTCACCCCTTCTAGCTTGAGGCAAATAGAGGATTTGTTTCGACGGTCGGCGAGCCGGATCCGGCCACCTGGGGCCTAGATCTAACATTTCCACCACCAGATCCGTGCGCCCTCCCCGCCCTGGCGTAAACTTGTTCGGCGGCGCTGAGATCAGTGAACATGGCTGCACACCCCCCCCTTGCCGCTTGGATCTGACGATCGGCACTCGCTCCGCCTCTATTGCGGTGCACCCGACCTAACGCGGTCGTGTCCACAATCTGGTGAAGCTGCTCCGTGGTACGGTGTTCTTCTTGCGTGTGTAGGAGCCCGGGCGCGCGGTTTGGCTGCGGGCATGCCGGCGGTGGGGTTGTGTGCTCATGGGCTTCCACTTTGTTGGATCCGATGACCGCATGTTGGATCTGGTGTAGCCGCTGTTGTTTGCTTGGACATGGGGCACAGGTAGTGCCCTGGCAGCAGTGTGTCTTCTACACGTGCATGCGTGGTGCGCTCAGTTTGGCCGCGAGCAAGCCGGTGGTGGGGCTGTGTGTCCGTGCACACCCTCCCCCTACGCCTCTTGTCGGGGAGGGCAGAGCGTCGTTCTCTAGAGTGACGATGTCACCCATGCTTGTGCCTGTAGTGGCGGTGACAGCGTGCGCGGTGTCGAGGCATCAGCAGCAAGAATGCTTGTGAGGGTTCTGGGTGAAAGCTCAACTGGGTCAGCGACGATGATTTCCTTGTTGAAGGCGTTGCTGAAGAACCTCGTGCTGCATCCTCTCATCGGTCGTCCCGGTCAATGCGGTTCTCCTCGGCACAAGACTCGGGCGAAAGCCTTGCTAAGCTCCATGCTTGGCTGACAATGATTACGCTCTGACATCATTCACCTCCTTGGAGGCATTGTCGAAGAGCTCATGTGCCATGATGTTCTTGTTTTTATCCTTGTTTGTTGTATTTGTGATTGTGTCACCTTTCGCCCTTACCCTGGGGCTTGGTGTTATTTTTTCTTACTCGTGGATATGCCACAAATTTGCCTATGTCCTGGGGCCATTGTACTGGTTTTAGCCTGGTTTCCTAAAATTAACCGGATGAAAGGGTTTTGCCTCGTTTTTTTTTCCAAAAATGAGGCTGTTGATGCATATATCAATATATATTCAGGTCAGGATTTAATCCCCCGTGACAGTTAAAAAACAAATAGAGGATTTTTCCTCGCTTGCACCTGATTTCAAGGCTTAGGTCCCATTTGGATTACAGGATTTTTAAAGGAATTTTAGAGGAATACTGTTGATAAAGGAAAGTTTCCTATCCTATGGTTTGGCTGACAAGAACCACGACTACCATTCCATAGGATTTCATTCCTTTGTGTGTTGATTCCATAGGATTTGTAACATCCACCTAGAGTTCCTAAAAAAATTCCTATGCACGAAGTACGAGAAGTTGAATGCTGATGCTAGCAAATAATGATCTATTATGGCTTGTTCTACCCAATCAAAGAGAGGAAACACATGCAAAGCATGCACTTGGTGTTATCTTTTATTCAACCTTGACATTCCTACAAAACGAATCCTTTGGTTTTCCTGTGGTGCTACCAAAGAGCTTCTCATCTATTTTCCTGTACTTTTAAATCCTATAGGATTAGAGGAACATAACATATCAATTCCTACGTTTTTCCTATTCCTACATTTTCCTATCATGTGTTCCAAAGGAGGCCTTAAGGTGTTAAGTAAAAAGCTCACTCTTGCTTAACAAGAGGGTTTTTGTAAAGTTTTAATTGGGGTTGTTTTCAAGTCCATAATCCAACCACCTGCGCGGGGATCAGATGACGGTTGGTATTTCTTATGCTCATGTAGAATATTCCGCAAGCGCACAGAATACTGCTGTAGCATTTCATCTAGGAGTATTCCAGGGTATCATATTTATCCACAGGGAAGCAATGGTTAAAGAAGGTGATAGTTAACCATCATGTATCTACTAACTTAGTATACCGACTAAACTAAAGTGGGGGTAAGTGATATATGATAAAATAGGGTGACACACAGGAAGTTCTACTCTAGAAAGGATAAAGTGAAAGCATAGCTAAATGGGAGGACAACGAGTGAGGGAGTTTCCTAAGTTCTTCTCTATCACAAAGGACACTTCTCTATTACTACAGTTCCATTCAAGAGCAGACCATATGGGATAACTGGGAATGGGTAAGACATAGCCACTACTACACTCAGACCTTTCACAGCCGCGTCGTAACCCCCATCGCAGTCCAATTTTGGCATCAGCAGTAAGCTATCGACATTGATAGTCATAGCCATCACCGTCGTCATCTGAGATCGACTGCAGTGTACACTACACCGCCGTATTGGCTTATCATCCATCCATAATAAGGTCCTTGCTTCTGTCGCATTGGAGCACGACCCGGCTATGGGTATACAATAACACCGCCGCATTGGCAAATTATCCGCCTGTGTCGAGGCTATCAAAACCATCATGTGGGCACATCAACCGCCTGTGTAGTGGTCACCAGCACCGTCGCCTTGTACTTTGACTCGACTGTCTGCGGTGTGGGTTCGCTGTCCCTTCAACGGTCGAGACGTCTATGTAGAGGTTAACACCACCGTCGCTTCAGCGTATGAACCACCAGTACAAAGGTCATGGTCACCGTCGCCTTGCACCACGATTCGCCTTTGATGATCGCTTAGTCGATGTCGGGTTACTAAACAATTCGGCGGTGATATACTTTTGATCCCTGCTGCATCATACGTATAGCGACGGTGTTGGACGTTTGCACCACCACCGGCGGTGGTGATAAGAAAACAATGAACGGCGCTTACATCCGACGGTGATAGAATTTCACCCGGTTTCACAATAGTTACTACTTCAGCTGGGCCCTTAATAGCTTCATGAACACAAAGCATACAGATATATAATCATTGCATCCAGAAATCATATTCATAGACAAGAGTACTTTTTAGAATAACAATAGACACTACCATAACATCTTCCTCAACTAATGTCCTAACACAAGTGGTACATAGAGCATACTAAAGGTACTGATCTATACAAACTTACATAACAAAATGACATAGCTGTGCTCCTTCTATGTGGCACTCCTGCTTGCAAGGCAAAATGAATATAATTAGTGCATCCTTCGGATTGGTAGCCAATGCACCATGGAACCCCTCTTCTTCATCTCTAATCCACAACCTGAACAAAGCAACATAATTAATAATATTAAACATACCATTCCTTTAGTTAACAAGCCAAAATTGGCCTATACATACATAGAATGAAAACAACTCCCTACCTGAACAAAGACTGTCGTGACGACGAAATACATCAAATGCACCTTTACTGCTCTGCTAATGACTCCATGAACAAGGGAACATATGGAAGATAGTAAGGCATGTTCATATGGAAACACCCTCTTGATCTACA